TTGTTACTGTGCAGTAAAAGTAAAGCTACTAAAATAAAAGCTATAACAGTAGCTAATAATCGAGAAAAGCTATGAAGAGCTACTTAACTACATCACAAATACAATTTGGTGAGGCCAAGTGTAATGAGTTCTGTAAATATTTCTGCAACTCTAATTGTTAAACATATGCATTGTGTTTGGTGTAACTGGTAACAAAATTTTGGTGAAATGAATATTTTGTTTCTTTGTAGACAAAATTGCAGTGACAAAATGGATGCATTTCTGAGTAGAACATTCTATGTCAATGGAGGTTATGAGAATAAAAAGGGCATGTCAAAGCTCAATTTCCTGATGGAGCAGATTGAGGTATGGAGCCACTCACTGATTGAGAAAAAGATCTTTCTATTGCATTTCCTTATGTTCAATTTTCCAATATGCAACCGATGTCTTTGATTAATGACACTATAAAATAATTATCATTCTGCAGGGGTATTCCAAAGTTAACAGGATATTTTACCTCTCCGTGCCACAAGATGCCCTTCTAGATGTTGCAAGCTCTCTGTCGAGTAAAGCTCAAACGCAAAAGGGTTGGAATCGTGTTATCATCGAGAAACCTTTTGGCTATGATATGGTGTCTTCTCATTTCTTGACAAAATCTCTTCTTTCTCAATTTGAGGAAAAGCAAATTTACAGGTGTATGTTCTCATTATTTGTACTTACATATCACTAACACTGTACTTAATAGCCAGAACTTGCACAATCGGAGTGAAAAGTTGACCATTTTTTTTCGTTTTGCATATTTCTTTCTTTGTTTTAGATTTCAGCTAATAACTTGATCTTAAACCATCACGTTTCAGGATTGACCATCTTTTAGGGAAGAACCTTATTGAAAACCTTACRGTTTTGAGGTTTGCTAATTTAGTTTTTCAGCCACTATGGAGCCGTACATACATAAGCAATGTACAGGTACAAATTTTATAAAGCAAAATCTAGTCCTTTCACAYTCAATACTCACTAAAGMAATAAAAAAATATTACAGGTCATTTTGTCAGAAGAACTTGGAGTTCAAACAAAAAGGTTACTTGGTAGTTTGCTGGTTTTACCTTCGTCTTGGTATTTTTGTTACAAGATCATCTACAAGTATTGAGTTCCTTCCATGCAGATTTTTGGATGGTGGTGGGATAATTGGAGACATAATACACAGCCATATACTACAAACTATAGCGTTACTTGCCATGGAACCGCCCATTAGTCTAGATGGTGAAGCTATTCGAAATGAGAAGGTAAATATAGACTTTTCAATAAGTTTTTATTGTTGGTCCAATGTAAATGAATAGGCTATTTCCAGGTTAAGCTTCTGAGATGCATTCGTCCATTGGATCCCAGTGATGTTGTACTTGGACAGTACAAATCTAGTACTAAGGACAAAGTCAACCTTTTTCTCGAGGACCTGACCCCAACGTATTTTGCTGCTGCTTTGTACATTGATAATGCACGTTGGGATGGTGTCCCTTTTTTGATCAAATCTGGCTTGGGACTAATCAAACACAGGTAAATTCTTCTTTGGCAAGGCTGTTGGATGTCAGAAAAATGTAGGACAGATAATTTGTCGCCAACTTGTCATTCCATAGAATCTGCTACATTGTTTGAGAATGTAAGGACCTTATAGATAAAAGAGGGGAATGACAAATAGGAGAAAAGGAGGTCCACTGGTGAGGGAAATTAAGAACTAAAAAGATGAAAGGAAGGAGAACTCAATAGCTGAAGTATAAACCTCGGTTTTTACCAAGGGGGCCTTTCAGGGCGTGGATTGAGAGAGAGGTCAAATTTGGGTTAAAAAACCAACAGGCTTGAACAATAGCCCACTATTCAACCTCCTCACTCACCATTTTCGTAAACCCAGACTTCCTAAATCTACATCTCAAGTTGGATTTTCTAAGCTTTGACTTATAAACTCTCCACTTAAACCTTTTTCCGCACCCAGGTTGAAGATATCGAACCCGCACCCCAAATGCCCCTTAAGTGCTGGCTAAAACAAACCATTATAGGAAATCTTATTCTTATGAGAACTAGTTCCGGAACATAGGGAAAATATTCCAGATAACGATAATTTAACATCTCTCGATAGTCATACTCAATGATAATTTTACTTCCTGTTCTTCATAAACTGATTTGAGATTCATTTATTCTTACAAGTCAAGCTGTAGAGTTGGTTCATCACTATTAATTTTGAAATACCAATATCCTTGAAAATGCAGTGTAGAGATCCGTATACAATTTCGCCAGGTTCCAGGAAACATTTATCGTGAGCACATTGGGTATAATACTGACTCTGCAACTAACGAGATCATTTTGCGCGATGTACCTGAAGAGGCCATTCTTGTGAGAGTTAACAACAAGGTTCCTGGATTGGGATTGCGATTGGATTCTCCAGAGCTCAATTTGCTTTACAAAGACAAGTGCGTCCATGCTTCAAGAATTTGAATTATGGTCCCTTTGTGATTGCTAGTTGCAATAAAACATAGTTTTGATGCAGATATTTCTTTTTTATTCTCCCTTGTCCATTTTAGTTTCTCTCCCATACTGTAGGTACAATGTAGACATGCCTGACTCATATGAGCATCTCCTCATTGATGTCATCGATGGGGACAGCCATTTGTTCATGAGAAGCGATGAACTCGCACTCGCATGGAATATCCTAACTCCGATCCTGAACGAAATCAACAAGAACAACATAAAGCCCGAACTTTACGAATTCGGCGGCAGGGGTCCCATCGGAGCGTATTATCTCTGGGCAAAACACAGAGTTCGATGGGTCGAGGAGTAAGCAACAGCCAACACATTCTGTAGCAAGATATATGTCAAATGATTGATGAATCATTACATTCCTCATCCAAACGCAGAGTCTTGGACATAAAATTTCAACCCAGTAGAACCACATGATGATGCAACTGCTGGTTTCAATTCTCAACTTAGTTCCTTGTGCTGTTGCATAGAATTAATCTGCCATTGATTTACAATGGAAGAATATGAGGATGTACTGTACCACATGGATTGAATCATTGAACCTAAATTATTGTGACAGGGAAGAAACTGCTTCCCTCTGTATATTAGTGTTTGTATTTTTCAATACAGAATGATTGCCACAGGAAATTATCTAAACTGAGTTTCTTTGATGTCAAATTGTAGCAGAAATCAAGAATAGGAAGAGCAGAATGTGGACAAAGGTAAAAGATGTTCATTAATGGCAGCCAATACAGGAAGTGTAGGATCCACCAAGACTTGAGAAGTTGCAGTCAACAAATCATAAACCAGGCCGCCAGGAAAATGGTGGAAATTAAGAAAAGAGAATGCCCCATGATCCTGACAGCGTTAAATCACTCTTGGATTGGGTCAAATCACAATTTCTTTTAGGGTTAAATCTCATCTTAGTCTTTTAAATTTTACACTCATTGCATTTTGGCTTCGTTTCGTATTTTAGTCCCGGACTTTTAGAAAATAATAATTTTAGTTTTTTTGTTTAACATTTAACAAATAAATAACGTACTTTCAAGTATGTGTGTTGATGTACTTGTGTGATCATAAATTTAAGCCTCGGTCGAGGTAAATATTGGGCGAGCATATTTTAAGTAGAAAGAGAATAGTAAGGATCSAAATGAGTTATTATTATTATTTTTAAAACACTTAAAAATTTAGGGACTAAAAGGAAAAAAAAAAATCGGATTTAAATGTTTTCCTTTTATTTGTCTAAATTTGGGTTTGAATTTTCTATACGAAAAGATGGGGACTTTTGGAATTGAATGTGTGTTTTTGTAAAGAAAAAATAAAAATAAAAATWWAAATTTAAATTATATTTATGCTGTTTTAGTTATTGAATGGTTGCACTTGGAAAGAAAAAATCAATTTTAAAATTACTTATGACAATTTTAAAATTTTAAAAAATCAATTCAAAATTTTCTTTGAATAGATGACTCTTTTAACCATAAAAAAGTCTTAGATTTTATATTCGCACAAAAAATAAAGTTCAAAAATTCAAAATCAAAATGGACCTTTCTATTTTTTAAAATAGAACTAATTTATTTAAAATCTTGCCCTTACTTTATTATTATTTTTTTTCCTTTTTCTTTTTTGAACTCGGGATGAAGATTTACTGATTTATGTTTGATTCACTATTTTGTACTTATATATACAATTTTCTCACTTTCTACAAATAAAATAAATTGAAACTATGGCAAGATTAGTCAACTACATGGTTCTCTTTTAATCAAAATGTGACTAGATTCGTATTCCCAATAAATAATATAATATAAAACAATCAAGAATTAAAAAAAAAGAATAAAACATGACATTCCATGATTAACGAGTCTACTAAATGGTTCTCTCACATAGATAAATTATTGGAGAAGAACACCAYTGTATTTTACAACGATAAACTCATACCTCAATTATGTAAGGTTAGTAAAGAGGATACAGGTTTCGAATTTGCATTTGTTATTAAGTACAGCTACATCGTGATAACTTCATTCAATAGCTCAAGAGAACAAACTTTTAAATATTATTTTGGTTCTTGTACTTTAAAGTTTTGTTCATTTTACTTCATGTACTTTTGAAAAATCTGTTCTGGTTCATGTACTTTAAATCAGTGCAAGTTTAGTCCATTCTTTCTCATTTTTATCTTATTTATTTGGATTCAAAATTTTAAYGTAATACTTTACTCACTAAATTGGTTGAAATATAACTCTAAATTTGTGTAAAATTTATCAAAATAATCATTTTTTAAAAAGTACATGAACCAAATTAAAATAAGTCAAAGTTTTTGTTCAGTGCAACAATTTGAACATATAGGAGATTGAACTTACAATCTCCTCGAACAAAAGAGAATACGTCAATTACTACTAAGTTAGGTTCAACGTCGGCAAATAAATCAAAACCGCACGAAATAAATAATTATTTTAAAAGCATTAAAAAAACAGGCAAAATACACAGCACCAAAAAGAGTATCTAAACTATAAAAAAAAACCCATACTTCTTTTTCTCCCTTTTTAGTAAAATTCATCAATCCCTGAAAAACTTGTCTGGAATATTTCAATGTGAACCGCCGCTCTTTCTCTCTGCAATCCATTTCTGCCAAAAACAGTAACCATTGCAATACCCCCACTTCTTCTTCTCGCCATTGGAGGACCGCCATGGAATCAGTAAGAAGAAAAAGAAAGCTGCAAGACGACGAGAAAGAAGCCCAAAAAGAAGATGAAGAAGAGGAGGAGAAAATGAAGCTGTTCTTCGCTCTGATCCAAAACACCAAATCCATTCGCGACCGCGTCAAATCCAAGCAATCAGCACCACAGCAAGACAAATCCAAAGGGGTGTGGAATCCAAAGTTCCAGCCAGAAGATTTCATTGAAGACTGCGACAAGAAATCAAACCCCACCCCTCAATTTGCTGCTTCATCTTCGACAAAACAGAGGAACAAGCAAGAGGAGGAAGAACAAGGAAAAGACAAGGTTGAGGGAATTGAGGATTTGGACCTTAATCTGTCTCTTTRAGGATTCTTTGTGTCTTTTGTCTGTAATTACCACTGTTGCTTGCTCTTGATTCCAATTCTAAAGCTCTCTTCTCGTCCATTTTGTTCATACTTTTTGAGGCTGCTCTGCTTCTGTTGAGGATTTATTGAAGTTTTTTGGAACAAAATCTAGGAAAACTAGAAAACCCCATCATCAATATCAAGGGGAAAGTTGAAGATAAGGTCATTGAAAGTCTTCAACTTCAACATTGTTTCATCTTGATGAGCCCATCTCATTGTTCTTATCACATCTTACTTTGAATGTTAAATAATGGTTAAAGTAMCAGTTTGGTCTACTTTTAAGGGTATTTTAGTTATAGAGTTTCATAATTACCAGTTTAGTTACAGAGCATGTGTATAAATTCTCACTTTTGAAAGTATTTTAGTTGTCTAAAAAATTCTCACTTTTTKAAAGTATTTTAGTTGTCCAAAAAATTCTCTTGAAAGCATTTTAGTTGTCCAAAAAGAAATGAGAGAAATAATTCATGTATTTATAGACGTGGGATCCTTTCAAAGGTGGATTCTCAAACACGTTCTTTAAGATGGGTTCTTTTTCGGCTCATCAATCTTACTTGGAATGTTAAATTATGATTAAATTACCGGGTTTGATTACAAAGTAGGTGTATAAACTTTCTTTTAGAGATATTTTAGTTCAATTGAATGGAACGAAGAGTGGAATCCATGACCATTCCTGAATTTCACTAATTTTGGATAAGTTTTAGTTCTTAACAGCAGATCCATACACAAGACATTGACAGCTCTTTAGCTTTCTAGCATTTGCATGTTGACATGACAGGTGTGTTAAAGATGGACACYTTCACAATCCCCAGTGACCCTTTTTTTAATGGGGTCATTTTTCTCAAGCCCTTTTTTGCTTTTTTGCAAAAACTATATGCTATTAGATTTCATTTGCTCATCAAGATGGGCAGCTTTTGGTGGGTTAGGTGGAGAGATCTTTCCATTTTCAATGCATTTGCAAAGAATTTATTACCTCCAAAACTTCTCAAAATGAAGTAACAGTTGGAGAAAGTTTGTGTTTTTTCTTGATGACATGAATTTGAAAGATCAGTTGTGGCAAAAGAAATCAAAAGGCAAAGGTGGTGTTGAATAAGCTGTTGAAAGTAGTTTGGAAGCCACAATCTTGTTTGCTGCTTCTGTGTAATGAATCCCATCCCAACTTATGAACTTGGAATCTTCACTGCAAACTTCATATCCWGGTTGACCACATGTCACTCTGATGTCGTAGTTGTATGGGGGTCCTCCCGCGCCACAACACGCCATCAGAGGATTGGGGAAACCTGCGAGACGAATACGGTTTACGTGATTTGTCGATTGATATCAGATTTGTTCAGCGAATTTATGTTTGATGGGTTAATGTTATGTTGGAGATCTTACCATGTGATGAGGAGTTGGCGATGAGATCATATTTGATAGCGTAGATATCAACGTAGACGATGCTTGCATCCTTCATTTCGGATCTCATTTCCCGGCATAAATGACTTAATTCCATGTTGAACAATGTTGCTGCGGCATTGAAGATCGAAATGCATCCATGTGGGTCGCGATCTTTCGTGTGGAACAATGAGAGCTTTTGAGGCAGGCAACCTAATGGCCCTGTGTTGTGTATCCAAAACTTCCTTCCCCCTTGATCATACAAAGCCTAAAATCATTGTATRCATTAGAAGAAAGACGAATCAGAAAAAGGAAACTATATCCATTAATCATAAGCACTTTATAGGTGTTTAATGATAAATAACTATAATGTTTGGTTGTACGCTTTTAAAAATTATTCGAAGCACTTGAACCAAAAAAACACCGAATTAATTTTAAATCACTCTCGAGCATGATAATTTTGAGTCAGAAGTGTTTTTGGTCATAGTAAAAATACTTTTGACGCACTCCCGAACATAGAATGATAATATGAAAAGCCTACCAAGACAGCAACTCACTCACCTTCACAGCATTCTTGATTTCAAAAATGACTGATGGGATTTGCTTAACCACTTGGGAGTAGGAAAGATTTTTGGAGAAAGAGTTAGCTATGTCATTTTGGCCAATGTCGATCATATACAATGCGTTCCTAAACCCGTTATCGTCAATCAAATTCCCATTACCTAAAACAAGATGGGTAAGCTCAATCGACTTAGTTTACACATAGAAATGGAAAAAGTGACAACGACAACATCTCCGTTTTGGTAGAGTTCAAAGAACAACATACCCGCATTCGCATTAAGAAGTTCGAGAGYACGAGCCTTGAAGTGAATGAATTGCATKATCTGAATGTTGAGTGAAAAAGGAACATATTTGGGGAGAGTGGAAGATCCCACAATTGCAAAGTTTGCCCCATTTCTGAAATTTGATCCTGCTAATGAATCCATATAGGGATTTAACAAGTTTGTGTTCAAACTCTCACCTACAAAACCAAAAGCAAACAAATTTCCATTATAAGTTAAACAATATGTGGAGGTGAGGGATTCGAATTCCTCTTTTGATCGATAATATATGTCTTAACTAGAATTATGGTCAGGTTGACYGTTTATCTYGTATGTTTTTTCTAAAATACAAAATTTTTGGAAAAGAGCTCATAAATAAAAACCATTAGAAATAGGGGTTGGGAGTTGGGTCTTACTATTCCATTCAAAATATCTAGATTCGGTTATGAGATTGATTGAAGGGATTATTTCTTAAAAAAAAATTGGATGCCAATCAACAAAATTCAATTTACAACCTCTACCAATCATTCATTTTTCTTTTTATTTTTCTAATGATTTGACAGTAAGGAATGGAAACTTTTATCTCTTTTATTCTATTTGACACAAATAATTAAACATATAACAATTTCATTCTAACTAATTCTATTTAAAAAATTATAAAGAAAAAAAAAACTTACTTTAATAAACCACATAGACATAGGATTGGCTTAGTGGATTGGAAGAAAAAAAAAGGACTTGAAGAAATTATTTTAAACCCCTTTTTCAATTTTTTTTTTCATTTTTAGTTAGAAAAAATGTAGAGGTGGATGATCAGATTTTCTAACTTTAGGAAAGATAATGGACACTTCATCTAAGTTTGGATCTAAGTTAGGATATTAAGGACCTATTTGGTATGTAATTTGAATTTTGCTTCCGGTTTTCAAATTCACTTAATTAAATAGATATTAAATAGTTGAAATTTTGGAACAATATTTACTAATTTTTTTTAATACAACATATGAAGTTAGGAGATCGTATATAATTACCGATACGTTAGACTCGTTTTGGCTARGTTGAACTAAATATTTAATTGATAACTAATACTAGTTCACAAATATATAGTAGTCGAACAATTTTTTAAATTGAGATTCAATTTTCAAATTTGTTATMAAATACATGTCCGAATACACTAAAAACATAGAATTCTATCTCTATTTTTTTTATTTAATCCCTTATTTTTAGATTTCTATTTTCAATCACCCACCAAACCCACTCTAGAATTCCACRAATTTTCTCAACCAAATGCCTGGAGGGACAAATTAGAGAAAAAAAAATTGTAGGGACAARCAATTATTCTACTAGATTAATTGAACTCAGATATTCATAAATTTACAAAAAAAAAAAAAAAGAATTGTATATATAATATGTTACTTTAATAAATAGAATTCACACAAAATGCATTCAGATCTAATCTACACCGCTCACACAAAATGCATTTGGACGGCGAGATCTAACGCCACGTAATGGAATCAAAAGAGGGAGGGCCCACTTACAGAGGAAGTCGATGAGGAGGCGGCCGTCGGAGAGGCGGCCGGTGGATCGGCGGAAAAAGGAGCGGCCGTTGGGAGAAAGAACCGGGAAGCCAATGCCGGCGACGAGGCCGCCGGTGTCGGAGTTGGAATCGCCGAAGTTGAAAATGACCGGCGGCCGGCGGCACTGAGACGAAACCGGAGGAAGAAGAAGAAGAAGAATGAGAGAGAGAGAAATGGCGAGAATGGCGGTGGCGGCCATAGCCACTGTACAGTTCGAGCTCTCTCTCTCTGATCTCTTTTTTCTTTTTTTGGGTTGTSTTTTGTCTTTTGGGCTTTGAAGAAAAATAAAGAGCCAATGATATATTTGACAACTGTCGGTGCGTCGCATTTCGTTTGAATTCCCTTTTTTTTTATGGGTTTTATTGATTGAAATTGGTGAGTGTTTTCTTTAATGAAAAATTAAAGTTTTGTACTTTTGTATACATTTCATATGATGAATCAAAGGTTGGATTCAAGAAATTGACTCAAATAACGTTCAAAAGTTTTTGAAATGTTCAAATAACYCTCTRAATGTRTTSAGATGACTTACTTTRAGTATGAATGATGTGTCAAAGGAGATGAAATGACCAAAATGTCCTTACTTATAAGATATGATMGYTGGAAAAAACCTTGRTCAGGATCATACTAATTCCCRCCCAGGAATCATTAATTCACAACAACYCATGCCTTTAATTTTGCTGCTTTTGATTTCTTCTTAAGATTGGACATTGCTTTGATTTTGAAATAGGTTGTCGTTTTTAAATTTAGTTTCGTATTTCAACATGATTCTATTAAGGTTGACTATGAACCTCGGGCGGAAGTTATGGTTTCTCGGCTGAGTTTCATAAGAAACAATGAACCTCGGGCAAGGTTTCGCAACAGTTGATAGAAAAAAGTTGACGCAACCTCGAGGTTTCTAAGCCTCTGTCATTTTTCTCGGGTTCGACCTCGGGCAAGGTTGAGCCCGAGGTAATTGAAAGAGGCTCAACCTCGAGAAACAACCTTGAATGACGTTTCAAATCTCTTCAACCTTACTCGAGGTCCATCTCACTTCCCCCGAAATACTTCTTCGTCTTCAACCTCTCATCACACCACTTCAAACATTTCAAATCAAACTCTCGCAGCCACAGACCTCAAATCCAACATAAACGAAAAATCGAAGAAAAAACAGGGAACGAAACAGAGAAGAACCCCAGAAAATAAAATCAACAGAAGAAAACCTGAATCGATACAATATTATACATGTATTTGTTCATCTAAATATTGAAAAACTGAATCGACACAAATAAACAACCATTCAACTCCTCAAACACACATAAAATCGAAACCAATTGCCAAGAGAAACAAAAATTAAGAAGAAATTCGAAGGGACTGCGAAGAAAAATCGAGAAGACGAACTGGGGCTGAAAACAGCGAGRAAGGGGGAAAGGTAGCGCGAATGGTTTGATTTTCTGAACAAAGAGTAGTACTGTAATTTCGCTACCTTTTAAAATTAATTAAATATTYCAAGGGTCGTTTAGGCACATTTTAAAGGGGTGGGTCATTTGAACATTCCACCAACTTTTGAAGGTCATTTGAGTGAATTTCCCAAATGTAATCAATTGATGGTTGTAATTTAAGAAGCTCCGAAGATCTACGCATCAGTGTAGTGTTAAATCCAATCTATTATAATGTCTAAATCAGATAATTGGTTCAATACAATGGAGAAAACATAGGGTTATGTGTGAAACATACCTCGTGCTTTAGGCTACTCCCTTCTTATTTATAGAGTGAGGCTTTTCGAGTTGGCTCGAATTGACCTACTCAATTGGTTAGAGACAGCTTGACCTAGTCGAGTCTAGTTTGATTTGGTCAAGTAGTTTAATTTGGCTCTCTTTGACCTCACTTCAAGTGAAATTTTACTACGATAATTATACTCCTAACATAATCTCTAATCTATCTTTCATTAAATGTAAAAATTTTCTTTTGGTGGATCCATTGAGTAAGATTAAATTTGATTTTTATGGTTTCATCTTAATTTCAAAAGTTAATCCTGAATTTTTCTTTTCTTTTGTAGTCAAATTAAATCCTGATATACAATAAAAATGTTGTTCCTGAGATATCAAGATCTTCCACTCTTCTAATCAATTATGGGATATTGTTTGCATCGCAATAATATTGTTACTATGATGCCAAATCGACATCATRTCGTTTGAAAGATTACAAAACTATGTTAAGTATGGTTAAGGAATACCMAAAAAAAAAAGTTGATAGTTAATATCTTATATCATTAAAATGTGCCTTCTTTTTCGATGCTGTTTTAGTCAAATCTATAGGTGGTCATTTGACATGTATAGGTCGATTAAGATGTTTGAAACTCGAGAGTATCATTCTTTCCTTTTTTTAAAACAATGAATTTTTTAGCTCAACTCTGAAAATTACGTCAAATCAAATAAATTATTAGATTTACTCAATATTTTAAGGTTTTTACCATCTATATATTATGAGCCGAATAAAGAAAGGAATGAAATTGAAGTCCCACAATGGRAGAATATAAGGATGGTCTCCATGTGTTACAAGTTGTCCCAGATTGGAGAACTATAAAAGAGCTCATGGGCTTGAATTTTAACTAAGCGGTATTTGCTTTGAAAGAGTGTTTTGCGTAATTGGGGTCGGGGAGAAAAATCGGTGTGATTGTAATAATTTTTCGCATAATGRATTTTGTCGTGGTTTTTTCTCCGGTTTGGAATTTTTCTATATTAATTCTCATGTTTCTTTATTTTATTGCTTTATTTAAATTCTCGGTTATTGGTAGGAGCAGGAGATCTTTTCCATCAACATTTTGAAATGCAGTCAAAATATATATTGATATCAAATAAAACATCCAACTCTCACATTTAACTATGAAGATATCTATTTGTCAATGACATGTCGCTGTCAGTTGATATTGTTACAAAAATAAAATCAAATCCCAAATGACCATAAAATGTTCTCTTTTAATATTCAAAAGGTAATAATTAATTAATATTCAACACAGTCTTAATTAAGACTTGTTAAATGAATCCGGCTAAATTTGTTTTTTAACATCTACTCATAAAAGTGATATAATTGAAAATATATAATGTACAGGTCTAAATTGAAAAAAAAAACTAAATAGAAAAAATATCTAAACATTAGGTGCTAGAACATATATTTACCCATTCAATGAATTATAAATTGTATTTACATATAGTCAACATTTTTAATATTTGTTGGTTTTTTATATTTCTCAACTATATTTTAAATAAAAAAGAGATTTTTCGTCCATTTTGATAGTACTATTTTCATACTAATCTAAGTTAAATAGTCAAAGTACACCTATACCTTTTGTTAAATGTTAAATGTTGAAAGTTATCAACATGTAATGAATGAAAATTTTAATTGTGTAAAAATAAAAAAAAAAATCTTTAAAATAATAATTTTTTGAAAAAAAAGAAAATTTTGAACTAGAAAGCTCATAATTCCCCTACATATATATATTATATGAGATTTTGTAGAGATTCRAACTCAGATCGAAAATATATACCTAATCAGTTGTGAGTTATGCTAAAGTTAATTAGCTCGRTACATATGAGATTTTAATGAAAATTTTTCCAAACCAAAATAAATTTAATTTTTCTCAACTTATCTATATATTATTCTTTTGTATGCCAWCTTTCTTTCATAATTAAGTTGTTATTTATTGCCATTAATGGTGGCATTGCAGGTAGGTTTATCCTCTGCCCACATTATATATTTCCAAGGAAAAGCTTAATATATGGGCATGACTCATTTTCCAACATTAATTAATCCTCTCCCCCATCCAATCACATTCCACCACCTGGCACCTAGTCCCCAAAGAATTTAAACTAAGCCATGCAAAAATCCCAAATGAGCTGTATAATTGCAACAAAACAAGAAAAAAACAGGTTTGGCAAATGAAAAAACCCCAAGTGGATCTCATTTATTTCCCTTTTGATGGAGTTTGAGATTAATTAATTATGGAGTGTTTTTTTGCTTTAAGTTCTTTTAATTCTTCTCCCCTTACAAAAAAAAGACTTTGCCTAATGGCAACTTTCTGTTCCATGCAAATGCCTATAATATATGTATGGTGTAACAAAACCAATCAATTTTCATGATCATTTCTTCTTTTCTTGAATGAAGTTCTTTTCTACGACGTGAAAACGAGCCTAGCTCACGAGTAATTGGCATATATTTAAAAAGTTATGAATTCGATCTCCGACCACCCTCCACATATTATGTTAAAAAAAAAAAATTCTACGACTCTTCTCAAAAAATTTAATCCAACTAACCTGCATTTAGCAATACTTTTGTAAAAGTGTCGYAATAGCCCACAATGACAACGGTTGTGTCAAAACCCTTTTCATCGGTAAAACATGAAATTATTCAACGTGGCTACCACAATATAGTTGCCCTCTTTCCTACCTATTATGCAATGGTTTATCAGAACCAAAATTTTAGTTTCCTTTCTCTAGTATATCAAGTTGAAAAAAATTTCTATTACTCTTGCTATTCTCTTTGTTCGTTCTATACATATTCTTTAATAATGTTGGATCCCACGTTATTTTTAAACAAAAATATAGTATGAACCATACTACCATAGTACTAGAAAATTTTCCCATCCAACAAACACTATAAAACCTCCGACCACATTGTTCCAGCTCTCTTTTATATACACTTTCTCTCCCTCTCTCCCCATAGCTTCACCATAACTTCCCATACTTCTCTCTCTCATGGCTTTACCTGAAAATAATTTTCTCATCCTCTGAGGAAAACTCTCTTTTTCTCTCTCAAGAAGAAGAAGAAAACAAATTAAAGAACACAGTAATAATGGGGGAAGATATAACAGCAATCTTGGGGATGGTTGTTCTGCAAATATGCTACGCTGGTTTGAACATAATCTCAAAGCTCGCCATGCAATCTGGAATGAACCCTCTCGTTCTTCTCACTTACAGGCAGATATTTGGCACTCTCGCCATTGCTCCTTTTGCCTTTTTTACTGAAAGGTAAAAAACAAAACAAACAAAAAAACTGTTCTTTCTTTACTTTCTTGTTTGATTTCTTGGTTTTCGTTCGTATGCAAAATTTCATTCCTTTTGCAGAAAAACGAGGCCTAAGATCAGTGTTGCAGTTCTGATTCAGATTCTTTTGTGTTCCTTATCAGGGTGAGTAAAATACACTACAACAAATATAGCTTTCAAAGACGAAAAAATGTTCATCGCATAATAAGCAACGGAAAAAGCCTTCTATTACTTGAAATGCGACGACAAAGAAAATCGTCGTATTAAAAAGCGATGGAAAGCATTTTCGTTGCATTTTTAAGCGACGAAAACTTTTCGTCGCCAAGTCTTCAGCTACTCATTTACGAGGATGAAACTTGTGTTTCATCGCTAATGAACGACAAAATTTGTGTTGAAAATGAAATAATGTGTTGTTTGTGTAGAGCAACAGCAAATCAGATACTGTTCTTCATTGGGTTGAAGTATACAAACCCAACAGTTTCAAGTGCTATGGCCAATATTCTTCCAGCTGCTACTTTTATCCTTGCTGTTCTTTTCAGGTAACTAAAATTACCCTTTTTATACATTTTCTAAAATTATCCTTGCTGTACTTTTGTCCGTATTAAGAATTATGTTCGAATTCCTGAAATATTATTTCGTCCTCAATTAGCTTGGGATTCGTTCCTATCTTTTTTTTTTAATACAACATGTGGGGATGAGAGATTGAACTCATAACTTCCTSGTTAGAGATATATGTCAATTATCGCTAAGTTATATTCGCTTTGGCGTTCGTTACTATCTTCGAATCCTCATTTCATATATATTTTTTAATGTTATTAATTTCCATGCCGATATTAAAAATATGATTAAAAATGTTAAATATATCCTAACCCAAYCGCTTAATTTTTTAGATTTTTAGTAACTTAAAGAAAAAATTAAAATATTTTTCCCTTAATTGAAAACTGATAATATTGATAGAGTCACTTGTTGGATCCTAGGTTAATTTACAAGTCCACAAATAAAATGGAGTGTTAAGAATATGAATCAAAAGATTAAATATATTTGTATCGTTATCAATTTAAACTTTTGAGTTCAATGGTAATTTAAGTAAACGGTCTCACACGAAATTAAGTGCATTTTTTAATTGAAAATTTTGATATATATTATGTGTTTTGGCAGACAAGAGAGTGTGAGAATCAAGACCAAGCCAGGGCTTGCAAAGGTAACAGGGACAATTATATGTGTTTGTGGGGCAATGCTACTGTCTTTCTACCATGGACATACCATTGGCTTGGGTGAGTCCAAAATTCACTGGGCATACATTGAGAGAATGAGGGACAGAAACCCGAACCGTCAAGGAAACCATGTCGTTGGCTCGATATTGTTGCTGTGTAGCTCTTTTGCTTGGGCATTATGGTTTGTGATCCAAGTAAGTTTAGCTAGCCCTAATTTGCTAATCAAGCAATTTGAAACTATACTTGCTAACTTTTGATCATCAGGCAAGACTTAGTGTCAAGTTTAAAGCTCCTTATACAAGTACCACATTGTTGTGCTTCATGGCCTCCTTCCAATGTGGAATCATAGCTGTGATTTCGGAGCACAACATTGCTGCTTGGTCTTTGAAAAGTACGAGTAGACTCGTCGCAGCTCTTTACACGGTAATGTTATAGTACGTACTTACTGCTCGATCGTTACACGATGTTGTTTCGAAACTTTAGACGACTGATCTAAAAGAAGCATATATATGCCTCTCTTTTACAGGGAGTTGTGTGCTCTGCATTGACATTTAGCATTACTTCATGGATCATACAGAGGAAAGGTCCTCTCTATGTCGCTATTTTCACCCCTTTATTGCTCATCATTGTGGCTATCCTCAGTTGGGCTCTCCTCGGCGATAAACTTTACGTTGGAACGTGAGTATCCATATCGATATGTTTTGATCCAACCCCACAATAKTATTATTATCAAATAGTCGTTTAACGAGTTTGAGTTGCATTACTATCATTAAGAATAATGTATATAAAAATCTTCAAAAGAACTAGGTTAATTAAGAGGGAATGAGTTCAAATCTCATGATGGCCACCTACCTTAGGAATTAGTAATTCTTATGTATTTTCCGACACCAAATTAGTGTTGTAGGGTCAAGAAGTTGCCCTGTGAGATTAGTCAATCGAGGTGCGTGTAAGCTGGTCCGAACACTCACAAAGATCAGGAAAAAAAATGTATATAAAAATCACACACACATATATATATATATATATATGCATTAATCTATCAGCCTAAACCTTTTAGGTTTGAACCTCTAACATTTGCTTCCCTACTCGATTTTGTACTTATTTTCAAACCCGTAAATAAAAGGGAGTTATAAAGATAAATGTATAATTAAGCTTTTAGATTTAGTGGTAGTTTTAAGGACGGWTTTCTCATATTTTTGTATTTTGCCTCTCTTTTTAGTGTAATAGGCTCTGTTTTGATCATCATTGGGCTTTATGCTGTGCTGTGGGGAAAGTCCAAAGAGATGAAGCTGCAAGATCACAACATGGAGAAGCCAACAATAGAGAAGCTGCCAAATGGGACTCATAATAATATTGATGAAAAAGATGACATGGAAATGCAATTAAGCTTGAAATGAAGGTTTTATGATTCCCATATGAATTTAAAGAAGTTTGGAAAAAGAATGGAGAAAAAAAGAGGCTTCCACATTCAAAGGTTCCTTTGGGGTTTCAATTTTCATTGTGTAAAAGTTCTCTCTTTAGCCAACTCAATTTTTTAAAACAATGTTCTCAAGAATTTGTAATTTTCAATCATTTATGTCTATAAATTTTGTRTTGGCAATACTCTCTGTTTGATGGAGAACATGAGGCTTAAGAAACATGGTGTATTGGGGACCATAACCATATATTTATAGGTTAATCCTAGAGTTTTCCGATCACTCATACATCCATTAAATAGCCTAAATATAATTGCTACCCACATATGAATTAATTATTAAATCAATTCCAACATTTTGTTGATGACCATGTTAGTAAATTTTGTTCGTTTTACTTGAAAATGTAATCTATGGTAAGTTAGAATAATATATTAGACTAATACACACTATCAGCAATTTTAACATTCATCAACCAATAAAAATATATAACTAAATATTATTAAAAGTTTTATAAATGTTAGGAATTACTACATATATATTTAGCAAAAAGTTTTATAAATGTTATCGATGAACCATGTGAAAACACTTCTCGTTCTTACAAAAAAATCATTTCAACTCACATGAAAGAATTCGGAGAAATTTTTAAAATTTCATTTAATAACGATTTTGTTTTAAAAAGTTATGCTTGCTTCTTTGTAATTCTTTTGGTATATGCTTTTTACATTTGTTATAAACACATTTGAATATCTAACCAAATCAAGTTCCTAAAAGTAAAAAGTAGTTTTTATTTTTAAGAACTTAGATTTTTTTATTTTTCAACATTCTGACTTAATTTTTTAAAATGTTTTTAAAAAATAGATCAAAATAAAGCTTAATATTATAAAATATAAAATATAAAACAAAATGCAAACCAGACCTAAATTAATTAAATTTCACCCACTAAAAAAATTGTAGTATTTTAAAAGAAAATGTACGATGGACCATGCCGGTTGTTTTGAAACAATTTATTTTTTTTAACATTGTAGTCTTAATTCATACGACCAAGGTTGTCTTTACCTCGTACAAATGACTAAAGGTCATTTCTTGAAAAGACGATTGTGCTACGTGTTAACAAATTAATCGTCTATTCAAGGGACGACTTTTTCTCCCACATTGGAAAGACGATTTTTAGCTACTTGGACAAGGTTGTTTCAAGATTAACAAAAATAATTTCAAAATAATTCAAATAAAAAGGGATCAATTCTTCTTTTACCGACCAAAAAAAGATTTTTAGTATAAAAAAGTACCAAAAATATTTTCAGATTTCTTATATAATACAAATACATATATAGAGTTAAAAACCCTAACGATCACCCAACTCCGGCGTAAGCCTTAGCGCCGCAACCCCTCTTATATAAAAACCCCACTTCCACTCCCCTGTTCTTAGTTTCTTCGCGGAAAGGTCATATTCCTTTGCTTTTTCTTCTCTCTTTGATGTGATTTCCCATTTTATGTATTGATTTTCTATCCATATTCACTTATCTTGAAACAAATTTCGTTTGGGCACGATTATCTTGTTACTTGTAACCATTTGGGTGATGGGTTTGCTGCGATCTCGATTTCAAGCTGGATATGAATTGCCTGTTTCTACTAACATCTGGGTTCAGATGGTTATGCATTTATTTGCTTAAATCTTTGATTTTTGTTAGTCCATTTTGCCTACCACTTGTGAAAGTTACTGTTTTCGCATTTTATCTTTTGTTGTTCTTACTGGGGTCTTCTGATGAATTTGTTCTTCTGTAAACTTTATTGTCTCTTGTTTGTTACACTGGTATTTGGTGGGATATTGCGTTGGTTTTTGATAAGAAGGCATTGTTCCTTGTATAGGCTTATAATTAGATTAGTTATATCTTCCAAAATTGTTAACATTTCACTTTCCTTGAAGATTTGATCTTAGCCGGTCTCCTATGAGATACCCTGACTAGTTTTTTCCCTCTAAATAATCTTGTAGGGGAGGAGAAATCCATTTTTTCCCTTATTTGATAAGTTTGAATTAGAAGATTCCATATGATTATCAAAACACTTCTTCTAATTACAATGGTGTGTGTATGTATAATTTTTATACATCTAAAAGCCAGCTCCAAGAGACAACAAGACTAAAACCTTGAAAGATATTTTCAAACCTCTCAAATTCTTACCACTATCATGTGTAGAAATTGGCTATTTATGCTATTGGTATTGGTGTGCTTATGGACGGTCTTGTGCTGATCAATTTACCATTGTCAGCACACAACAAAAACGTAAGCTACACTCTTGCCATCTTGTCTTTCGAGTTTTCCTGAAGTTTAGAGGAAAATCTATCCGTGTTAGGGCAGATATCAAAATCACAAATTGTTTGGYTGTTGGTTATGTGCTTATGGACGGTCGTGTGCCGATTTATTTACCGCTATTGGCACACAACATAAACCTAAGCTACACTATTGCCATTGTGGCTTTTTCAAGTTTCCCTCTGTAATCTGAGGTGAAGCTATGCATGCTATGGCATATATCTTAATCACACATCTCGCAGCCAATTTGACAGTTTATGGTTGTCAGTCACAATGTGCTTATGGACGGTCGTCTGCCAATCAATTTACCGTGATTGGCACACAACATAAACCTAAGCTATACTTTTACCATCATCATGTTTTTCAAGTTTTCCCTCGCTTGTGTTAGGAAAAATGATCCATGATGYGGTGGATATCTGAATCACATGTCTCATGTCTGTCTCCATCCGTGTTACTGTCGGTTGCAATGTGCTTATAGATTACATGGTCCTGTACTGATTTAACTAGTCCTGTTCATGTCTACTCGTTAGCATTCATTGCCAGTATTAGACRCTTGCATCTTGTGTTGTTCAAGTTCTTCCTTGTGGCATTTTAGGAATAGTGTCCATGTGCTTACTGATTTGTCTTGTTTCTTCTGTCTGTTACCAAACCTATTACTGTTTATATTATCCATACAGACATCTATATTGTTTGAAATCGATGTGCTTATGGACGGTCTTGTGCTGATTCGATCGTTAAGCCATCAGCACATAACAAAAACCTAAGCTACATTGAGGTTGCTGCATTGTATCTCTCCAGTTTTTCCTAGAGTTTATATGAGGAAAAACTTTCTACATTGTGGCTACATCAGCACATAAAATTATATTGTGAGGATGCACTTACACACTCAACAGAGTCAGATTATACTTTTGGTGATTTTGCCATTTATGATTGATTTGCTAAGTCTTTGCCCTCTGGCCATCCCATTTTTTGCCAAGGACCATTTTATTTTGTGGAAGTATGATTGTAGGTTTCTTGATATCACTAATAAAGCTCGGTCTTCGACCTGCCATGGATGGCGCTGGTACTCAGGTAAAGACTCTTTTGGGTGGTGGTTTATGCTTGCAGGCATATCCAAAGCATATTTCTGAAGATGTGTTCTTAAACTGCTCTCGGGTCATCGATAAAGACTATTATCTGTAATTGACKTTCTGGAGTTTCGAAAGGCACCCCCTCTTGAGTCTCTATTTGAGATGTAAATGAAGCAGGAAGAATGGAGAAATAATAGTAAAGCAAGATGGGAAACAGGGGTAGGAAGATAGGAAGTTGAGTGATTTTGACTTAAAATTTTAATCCTAATTCCTAGGGCATGCAACCAAATTAGACTGTTTTCGTTGTAGAGATTAAATCCATGGATGATATAGAAAAAAAAAAATTATTAGATAAATATAGCCATCGCTTTTTGATTTGTAAGTATGATGAAAAATGGAAGTTAAACTCAAATGAAAAGTTTTGATTATACCATTGCTGTATTTTATATGTAATGTCAAGTATCAATCTAAGTCTACTAATATTCTTCTTCTATCAAGAAGAATATTTACTCATACAAGATTTAACTAATATCAAGTATATCATATAATATTTATTCTTTCTAATTTTTCAAAATAACTTTGACAAAATTGAAATAACGAAAAAATAAAACTAATTTTAAAAATTATTATATTTACAAAAGTTGAAATGCATTTGTATTTATAAATATAACAAATGTTTTTTCTACCCATTAAAAATATCCTTAAGTCAATTAAGGTCAAATCATGGAAGTTCTTTTTTCTATTTTAAATTATATAATAATCATAAAAATAAAAGACCAATGAAATGAATGATATTTTTTTAGTAAATATATGGGATGAAGATTTTGAACTCAGGATYTGGAGCTTTTAAAATTATAGGATCAAATTATTAAATTTGAAAGGAAATGATCAAATATATTTTCCAACATGAAATTTGGAAAAAAGAAATTAAAAATAATTAGATTAGAAAAGACATTTGGTCTGCTAAAATACTGAAATGGGTAACAATTTAGTAGAATAATTTAATCTTTATAATTTGTAAAGGCTAATTCGTTATAAAAATTATTTTAAAAAAACCGTTATAAAAGTTAACATTTAATTTTAATGATATTTTTGGGATTGAAATTAAATTATTACAAAGTCTAAACTATTATTTTTTATCCAAAAAGTATTAGTAAGAAACTAACCATAAAACTCATCGTAATTACATTTATCCGCCATTGTCGACCTCCAGTCCTCCCAAGCTCCCGATACTTGGCCTGTTGGCCACTTTCTCCAGTGACGAAAGATCGGCGTTCATTGGTACTAAGTTTTGCGGCTTCGAACCTACATTCTTCGCCACACTGTTAATCTTAGTTCCTTACCATATTTATTCCATTTCTCAGAATATTTCGGTGTTTTCAGCCCGGAAACATTTAGGGGATGGCAGCGATTTACAGTCTCTACATCATCAACAAATCTGGTGGCTTGATCTTCTACAAGGTAATCAACCAACAGAAGTTACTTCTTTATGCAATTAGCAACACAATTTCTTCTGAATTCCCACTTGGGTCGAGAATTTCGATGCTTTATTTGGTTTCTTGGAAAAAGGAAATGTACCCCAAATCACGATTCCACTTTTTGATCTCAGAATAGAAGAGTAAAGTCTCTCTGCCTGTCAATGTGATTATCAGATTTCTTATCGATCTTCCTTTCACTTGATTGGTTTTGGGTGGAATTGCTTAATCTTCACCGGGTATTCTATTGGATTGAATTCTTATAGGGTTTAATTGGAAATTTAGGATTATGGGTCTGCTGGACGAATGGACACGAATGATAGCTTGAGAGTGGCGAGTTTATGGCACTCGATGCATGCCATTTCCCAGCAGCTTTCGCCTATCTCTGGTTGTTCGGGCATCGAACTCCTTGAAGCTGACACATTCGACCTCCATTGCTTCCAGTCTCTTACTGGTAAATTTCCCTTCCACTCCATTTTCCGGTCGTTAGTATAATTTTGCATCAAACGCTTGGATACTGTATCAAATCTGTGATCTAATGGTTATCAATTAAGTTCGAAAATTGGAAAGCATAATTGAAGTTCGTTCTAGGGGGTATTCACCTCACAAAAAACTGCCTAATCCTACAACTACGGTTATTAGAAAACTCTTAGAATGTTTATATCCTGGATAGGTGGTTACCATAGAGCTAAATCTTTAAATCTCTTTACTTTTGCATTAGCTTCAGTGACTACTAGGAGGCCAACGCACGGTAGCAAAATGTAGATTTTTTTTTATCAGATTATAGTCACCTTCTCAGATATTATTATGCTAGGCGTTGATCTATTTTAGCTTGAGAATTAAAAATAATAATAATAATAATTGTTGTAAGATTCTGAAGTTCTACAGGAACTGAGGACTTTTGGGGAAAAAACGAGTATGTGGCACAGCAGCTGCAAAATTATTTTTCTCGAAACTCATATCTATAACTGTTTGTGTTAAATGTTTGTCGTTAAACTTTTCTGCCTGCTTGATTTTCTAGCTAGCCTGTAGAAAGGAAGAAGAGTTAAAGATTGTTTCGATCATATGAATAGCTTTTCATTTGAGGGATTAATCATTTATCCATTATCGTGAACCTATATGAGAATAGAAGTTCTTGTTTCGTAGTATACTTTTTGTGATTTCTTGTTCAACAATATTTTATTGATACACAGTCTCACAACAGAAGTTTTCATTTTATATTGCTATGCGAGTTCTTAACAAAGAATGCTGAATCATGAATGAAATTGTTTATTGCAGGGACGAAGTTTTTTGTCGTGTGTGAGCCCGGTACACAGCACATGGAGGGTCTTCTGAAATACATTTATGAGTTATACACAGACTTTGTGTTGAAGAATCCATTCTATGAGATGGAGATGCCTATACGGTGTGAGCTCTTTGACATCAACCTATCGCAGGCAGTGCAGAAGGATCGTGTTGCTTTGTTTGGGCGATGAGCTTCAGAAATCCTTCCTTTTTTTTCAGAATTGCACATGGAATTCAAGATAGAAAAATCTCGTGAATTTATTTTGTCAAATACTCGATAATTTACCATATCTTAATTCTTAGTGTACGCCACGAATGGTTAATCGGATGAGATTCGAAGGAAATAGAACGTTCCTTTTCCAGTGTTGCTCAAAAGAAAGTCATGGTTAATTATATATCGAATATTTTTGTCAATGATTTACATTCTGTGTTCTGAATCCAGTTAAATGACAGAGCAATTTCAAGTTTTGAGCCCGTGGCTGCTAAATGAACTCAAGCAGCCAAATTATTCATGTTTTGCTGAGACCAGTTTATATAAATGGAAGTATCAACTTTATGATATCTGTCATTATATTTATATGTATCGGTATCAGTTCTGACATGTTTTTTATGATGCCAGCCTGGAAAGCAAATTAAAATAGCCAATTTTTCTACTTGGCACTGAACTAGTTGTTATGATATCAGCAGAATTGTGGTTGTTATTTGTGGATTTAAAGGGTTCTTATAGCTCAAGCTTCCTCAACAGACGAAAGAGTTAGTAATTGCAATGAATCATGTTTGATTCAATATCAAAATAACCACCAGAATTGAGTCAGTAGTAATATCATAACAATTAGCTCAGTGGCAAGTAGAAAAATGTTGCAAGGTTATGTATCAGAGATGTGCAGTGATGCTGTTTGCGCTTGTTACCCATGAAAGGAATCGAATCAAATATCAATTTTGCTGACTGATTTGATCAAGGCACTAGGATATGACCGGCAACCACAGCCATAGCAATGAGAATCCTCAATTCCCTCTTCCTCTCAACCAACGGGCTGTCTGGTGTTGGTGGTCTACATAAAGCCTCTCCTCGGGGTGCTGCCTTTTCGACCTCGACCATGTTGGCGTAGTCTCTCTGGTTGAAGTGAAAACTTGCCTGCAGGAACGCCTGCTTGACCACGTTGCAGCCGATTCTGCAATTCTCGAGAGCAGCTCTTGTTGCTAGATCAACTTCACTGGCTTGAAGTTGCACTACGAACTGATAGGTATTTGAAGCATTTCTCAGAGCTTGGTTATTTGCTATCAAGGTCAGGCCAACATCATCTGCTGGACCTCTCAAATTTTCATTGAAGGTTCTGTTGCAAAACCCGTAATCCTCCATTTGACGGCATATTCGATCAATCCGTTGCTGTGTTGCAGGGTCGCTCGAGGCGGGGCGGACAACGACGACGAGAGTGAGGAACAAGGCCAGAAGTTGTGTAGAACATTCTGACAAAGCCATAGTTTCTTTGCTGCCGCTAATGTTTGGAATTCTGAGAAAGCAGAGCAAGGTGAGAGTGGATTTTTATAGCATAATCTCTGCTGCTGCTGTTTAGTGCATTTATATTATTGCAGTTTTTAGCAATATTATTTCCTAATTTTCCCTTGATCTTTTGGTCCATGATTACAGAAAACCCAAATTAAGGAAACAGTATATATATATATATATATATATAGATAGATAGTGGATTGTGCCAGCCAGAATGAATGTTTTGGAAAAAATAAGGTGGGAAAGGCAAATCTGGTGCTGATCTTAGTACCATAGAGAGTTGATTCATCCAAAAATTTCAATTCTTTCCTTAAATGTTCTTCCATTTCCTAAAACTTCCTTGATTGACATTTCTTTACCTTATAATCCCAAAATTTACCAAGTATATCTCTTTGATGTTTGATAACCATTTAGTTTTGGGTTTTTAGTTTTTGAAATGTAGCTTATAAACACTACTTCTATCTATATATTTCTTGTTTTGTTATCTAATTTTTAATAACATTTCAAATTCTAAAAAAAAAAAAAAACAAGTAGTTATGTTTTTGAGATTTGGCTAATAATGCAAATGTATCGGCAAGAAAGGTGATATACATACCAAATAAATTCCGAAGAGGCAAACACAGTTTTAAAAAAATAAAGAAATAAAAACAAAAAAAGAAAACGTTGTTAAATAGGAACTCAACCTGGTTATGTTTAAAACCATGTTCATGAAGTAAACTCAAACAGAATAATAAGAACAATAAAGGATAGAGCATAAAAAAACACCACTACTCTTTTCTATTCTTTTCTGACATACTTGACTACCAAATAGCTTATTAAGCTTTAGCTTTTATGAAAGATTTTACTGAATGTGACCATTAGCAGCAGCACATTCATTTACACTTACTGAAGTTTCTAAGCTTAGGATCATAACTTTCTGCATGGCTTCAATACGCAATGAGTTGATTGGGATGCCTTTAGCACAGCTTAGAACAAGTTTCTTTGATGCTATCAATGGACCATTGTCTCTGAAGAGCATCTGCTGTGACATCTCATAAGCTCTCGCGATATTTCCTTGCATTTCATGGTAAATTCCCACGCAATGCTTGAAACCCTTCTTATACTTGGCATAAGCGCTCGTGTTCTTGCTTAGGTTGGAGAAGGACTCGATGTTCTGATCGGCTTGTTTCATTGTCAGGTTGATGGATATGAGCGAGAGCTTAGGGAGGTCAGCTGAGAAGGTACGAGGATCTTTATCGAGGATTTTCTGGCAAAGCGAGGGGTCGGAGGTTTTCGAGCAGATGGTGACCAGACTCTCATGAATGATTCCATGAGAAGGGAAAATGGTGAGGGAAATGGCAGCCAAAAGAAGAGCTGGGATGAAGGAGGCAAAATTTTGAGCACATCCCATTTTTGCCATTTTTGGTTTCTCAAGAGGGTGAGAGAGATTTCTTTGGCTGTGACTTTCTTTGGAGCTAAAAAGCTGCTTAAATAGTGAGTTTGGAAGAAAAAGTTGCTTCAAAGGTAACTGATTTCCCTTTGCCACTTTTTCTTTTTTTTTTTTCCCTTTTTCTGAAAAATATATATTAAGATATTTGGTAGGTAGTTCATTTAACATCAATACATATATTTGATTTTGTTTTTAGAAATAAGCTTTAAAACAACCACGTGGGCTACATGCGAGCTAAAGTTGTTCTCTCCCTCCAAACTGCGGAGAATTCGAGCTAAATAATGTGGGAACCAAGAAGTTAATTCACGAACCATCTATTTTTTATTCAACAACACGTGGGATAGAGGTTCGAACTTTTGAAGCTTTTAATTTTTCGATTTATACTGAAGTTGGTCACGTACAATTTCGTTACCATTTTGTTGATCGGGTAAATATATAAACACATATAAACACATATTTGATTTGGATATTATGTGCTACTTAAATTTATAAATTTTATGCATTAAAAATAATTGGATAAACGTTAATAAATATTGTTTGATTGTTTGAATGGTTTGATGTCAATGTAGTATTTAGATTTATTTGGTTTATTATAAATGTAATAAAAGTAATTAGCAATTACTTCAAAAATTATCTAATCAGTGTCATACTTGGCAGGTGATCTGGGTTTTAAAAAAGTAATAGAATTAGAGTATTTTTTAGGATTTCAAAATTTTGATTTCATTGGATACTATCCTATAGAAGACATTTATGGAATTGCGGTAATTTTCAAAATCACCATTAAGTAATTACCTTAACATGATCTATGGATGATTTTAAATTTACATAATTCCCAAACACACTCTTAACGTGAACAAATTAGGCTAGATTTTTCTTGGAATCTAGTTATTTTAAATTCAATGATTAATCTTTAGACGCCAATGGTAATTTACAGCTATGCTCGGATCGGCAGGATCTCTTTAATAAAGATAAATTTAATTCAGATGAATTAATATAATTGGTGATTGATTATCATTTTTTAAGTAGCTTATAACTAGTAGGTTCAAAATTGTCTAATTTTATTTAAGCAACTAGAAAGATAATAAAGAAAATAATTATTATTTAGTAATAAAAAAATAATGCACAATGTAAATTTAATGACTTTATAAATTGCAGGATTCGACATTATTTTTCTTTCAAAATGTTGTGGAAATTTCGATCAAATATTGGTAAATGATTAGAGTATAAATGAATAGTAATAATGATGATCTAGAATTAGAACTTATTTATGACAGATTTTAAGTTTCTATTTACAAAATCGAATAAATTAAGAGGAAATTATATTGGATGGTATAAATATTATATAAGTATTTTAAGAAATTTCACTACTTTTATTTTGTCAAAAAAAAAGAATAATTTTTTCATAGTTTTTTTTTTATTTAAATCAAATTGTGCAGTTTGTGTAAAATTTTAAAATTATTGCTATATTTGAAAACATATTTTTTTATTTTGTCATTTATTTAACTCTCTAAATTTATTGAGCTTCCATGATTTTCTTGATTCATTATAACAGTACGAATGTGTTTTTTTTTTAATTAGTAGCAATTTTTTTTATAATAGAAAACTTCAGATTAAACTCTTAAATTTTGGCGAGAGTGATTCAATTTTAAGCTTAAACTTTCAAACGGTGTGTACAAGTGGTGGTTGAGGTCGAGTAAGCTCTCTCGGATAGAGATGATATATATGAACACCAACGAAGAAGAAATTAATCTACTAGATAGATAGGATGACTATTTAAGCAGAAATTCATTAGTCCTTCATTTAAGACGAGGATAATATTATCCGAGAAAAGGCAAACATAAATCTTACATTAGCTTAAAAGAAGAATCATCTATATATAGCCACAACGTCTTTATTAATATATAGTCTTTCTTTGACAAATGTCAATTATTGCTGAACTAAATTTAAATTCAGATTGGCTTAATACGAAGCGTTTTGAGTAGTTACTCAATTATATTATTTTGTTTCTGATAAATAAATATATATAAATATTATGTAATTTTTCCCCACGTACTTTTACTAAAAATATGTTACTTTTATCATAGACAGTATTGGTTTTGTGTGTTTATGATGCAATGTAAGAGGCAGAAACCAAAGCCATGGCAATGAGAATCCTCATCTCTCTATTCCTCTCTACCAGTGGGCTCGATCTCTCCGGTGGCGTCCCGAAAATGACGCTGCAACTCGCTTCTGCTCTCGGTGCAATCCTCTCTGCATTCACCATGCTTCTATAATCTCGTTGGAAGAAATATTTAATCCCCTCTAGAAATGCCTTATTCATTATGTCGTATGCATTTTCACACACTATCAGGTTGTTCTTCAATGCTGGATCGCTTACGAATGCTAGAAGCTTCGTGATATACCTGTCACGTTGTTAAGAATATGTATAAAAGATCAAATTTAATTATCTTATAAACTAACTTTTGAGTTTAGTAGTGATTTAATACTAGTACCTTAGGGTACGGGTCGCATTGATGATAGCTTCGACTTTAGCTATCTGGGTTAGTCTCACGTAGTCTGTTGGACCTTTTAGATTCTCATGAAAGGTTTGACTACAAAATCCGAATTCCTCCATTTGGCGACATACTCTATTGATCCTTTCCTCGGTTTCGGGATCGCCCAACGTCGACCCCATAATGAGGAAGATGAAGAACAAGCCGAGCAGCAGCTGGGAAGACAAAGAACATCTTGATGAAGCCATTTGGGTACGGTTAATTTGGCAAAGTGAAGGAGATGAGAATGGGCTCTATAGGATCACATTATATGCTGATATGATAGTGATTGGTCAATTAATTAGCTCATGTTTATTAACACTCGCATGTTCTATGAAATTAATCTTACGAATCTTAATCCATTCATAAATAAAATAATTTATAAGATTATAATTAAAAATTAATAGATTATAATCTATGAATAAGTATATCAATAATAATAATTATGCCAGCATGAGCATAGTTCGGTGGTTAGGACATTTTGTTTACTTTATAGAGGGTAGAGGTTCAATTCTCATCTCGATGTACTGAAATAACTGTGTTATATGGGAGTTGAGATGTGGCTGTCATATGTCGCACCATCAGAATAGTGCATCAAGGAGTGCTCCAAAGAGCTATAAGTATATATGGAGGTCGGAAACTCAACTCCATCTAGGGCGTCGATATATCTCTGACTCACCACTACACGTGTCTCAATCTGTTCCATCATCTTTGTAACAGTCGGCGACTTTGGAAAGGGAAGGTAGTAAACGTCAACGTCATCCCCGTGGAATCTTGTGATCTAGGGAGGAATTGACGAGAGTTAATGATTTTCTCATTCTGTGACTGCCTATAAATAAAGGGGGTAAAACCTATCCAAGATTTGTGTGAATCTCGACTACAAATATATACTTAATTCCGACTTGTACTAACTTGAGCATCGGAATGCTCATCCTTATCTTTCAGATTTCATTGTTCATGAGGAGATTCATCCGATTGTTTGAGCGTTATATGTTGGAGGCTATTTACCGYCTGCCACGTGTCAATGAGAAAGAGATTTACATGAATGGTGCTTATTAGTATTGCATAAAGTCCTTTTGGGTCGCCATGCATTGGCCGAGCTGACCTATTGAATGTTTTAATTGCATAAAGGGATTTATGAGTTGTATGGGAGCCGACTTCTAGAGGTCCGAGCTGACATATACGCAGATATCTGCTGGGATGTTGGCGACACTATTCTCCGATAGCACGCTGCATTTGGCAGGCAGTCGGGTGACCGTTATGTCATTGTCGGAAACCCTATCGAAGATCATCCCTATAAAAAGGGATGTCTACCCATTATACAAGGTACGTGAATCCATTTGCATCAGAACGTTAAATCGAATATTRACTGACTTACTCGTTGGAGTGCTAAACCTATTTAAAGAAAAAAAAACGAACCGTTATTCATGATACAGAGGATTACAGGGAAGCTTATTCCCATGTTCAATGTGTACAAATATATGACCATGCATGTTTCCAAACAGGGCATGTGTAAAGCCTTTACTTATTCTATAATTATACTGATCCTTATTTCCCTCTTCCAAAGGGCCCCTCAAGGATTAGGATCGGGAGCGAAAAGCAATCACAAATTATATAAAAATGAAGAATCATAAGCAATATTTGACTAAAATTGTTTTATTTTATAAATTAATTAATATATATTAAACCTAAGTTGATTTCACTACCCAAACTAAAATTCTTTTAAGTTAAACAAGCCCTTAAAATGCCTAAGGAAACATCTTCAATAGTGTAAAATCTTTTAAAATTAGTTTGAAAGTACACCATTTGTTGATTCTTCTATATTTGCTAGAGAGGGGAGATTTTGTGTGAGGGAAAATCCAATTTTTATTCACTGTTTTTCAATATATTTYTTTAGTTAACATGTCCATGATTTCTAAATCTTAGTTTAAAAGGTTCATATTTTCTATTTAAAGAATATAATAATCCAATGTAACGAGATACTTATTTATCTTTTTAAAATGAAAGGTTATCCATATTTGTTGGAATAAAAAAAGAAGAAAAATAAGACTATAACAACTTGTTTTAAAATAGTTAACGTGCGTTTCTATAGTCAACATGGACTTAACTCGATAGTAATTGACACCTATTTTTTATCAGAAGTTACGAATCCGAATCATGCATTCATACTTAAAAAAAAATGTGTGTTTCCGTATTTTCTTGGCCTTAAAAATTGTCCATGTCTAAGGCAAAGAAAATATTATTACAACCCCAAAAGGAGCAAAGGGAAGGAAAAAATCTGAACATTCATTTCATCACAATGCAAAGGGCAGAACTTCCCCACTTTAGATAGAAGAAAAATCTAACAAGTCCCTTAATATGAATTCTTGCCCGAAAAACAAGGCTCATAGATTTCTTTATGATCTTCGATTAAAAATTAAACTTTACTACTTTGGGACAAAAACCCACCATTTTAATCCACCGCTTTTGGATACCAAAACCAAAATTTTCTCTCCAAATGTTATAAAGGGCCGCATCCTTTTTCTTTCCATAAACCATTTGTTTGCTTCCTGGATCCCCGATACCGTTCTTATTTCGATCAATCTCAAGTTTCCCTAAATTTGGCTCCGGAATTCGCCGCAGAAATCGAAGATAAGCAAGCGCCACCCTTATGCGTAAAGTTCTTGTATCTTATCCAACTTCCACTGATTTGAGTTTTCTGGGTTGTTATCGTTTCGATTATTTGTTATGAACATGATTGCTTTGTTTGATAATTCGACCATGAAGGCTTCTTGTAGGCTCCTAATTAGTTGTAGAAACTCAGGGTTCTTCGGGCTCCCACCCGTGAAATCCCCCCACGGTTTCCCCAACAATTATTGTTTGAATTTTACCTTCAAATTTCATTCGAACAGCCAGTATACTTCGCGCCCTTTTCATTTTTCGGGGTCTGGACGAATTTTAGATGGGACCCTGAATCCTCCGCTGGCTAGTTTGAGTTATGGCCAATATGGGGTTATAGCGAGGAGGTCTTATAGTTATAGTATTGTTCCAAAACCCATTAGGGGTGTGTCTATAATTGCTAGAATTGCCTCAAAATTTCGTGATCTTTCCACATCCATAGAGACCCGTGTGAATGACAATAACTTTGAGAGGATATATGTCCAGGGCGGTTTGAATGTGAAGCCTGTGGCTGTTGAAAAGATTGACAAGGATGAGAATATTGTAGGAGAGGAGGATTCTAGATTAGAAGTTGGTAGTGAACATGTAAATGAGGAAAACTTAGAGGATTTGAATAAAGCTAAGGTCATTAGTTCCAATAAAGAGGTTTCTGATATTGAGAAAGAGGCTTGGAGGTTGTTACGTGAGTCAATTGTGACGTATTGTGGAAGTCCAGTCGGCACCGTGGCTGCAAATGATCCGGCCGATAAGCAACCGTTGAATTATGATCAGGTCTTCATTCGAGATTTCGTACCTTCTGCCCTTGCATTCCTGCTGAATGGTGAAGGGGAGATTGTGAGGAATTTTCTCCTTCACACCTTACAGCTACAGGTACTATTTTTCCATGTTCTCTATGCCTTGTGTTTTACATTTTCTTTACTTATTTATCTTATTCAGTTATTCTTAATGCATATATCTCATCTTTTTGTCTATTATATACCTTTCCTTTTTTTTAAATCTTCCGACTTTTTTTCTGACTACGGTTACTTGTTGTAAATATGTAAGGATTTGATAGTTTTTAATAAGCTGTTCAATCTCATCACCCTCTATGGGATATCATTGACCATTAAATCAACATTGACATTACAAATAATTTAGCCCAAGTGTTCTGCAGCCTCACAGAAGAAATTTTCAATGCTTCTTATCATCTTTCTCATGGATGAAGAGTAAATTTTTTCCACAAAGGAGATCGTTTTAAAATTGAAATTTCAGGATATGTGTATTGTTGCATGTGGGAGACCTGTTTCATTACAAGTTATATTGGTGAAATCAGAATGATTGCAAAATATTTTCCATATAGTTCTACCTTTTTATTTTCTGAACTCAGAATGTACTCTTTTCTCAGAGCTGGGAGAAAACAGTAGATTGTTACAGCCCAGGACAAGGCTTGATGCCAGCAAGCTTCAAAGTCAGAACCGTTCCCCTTGATGGAAATTATTTTGAAGAAGTTTTGGATCCAGATTTTGGCGAATCAGCCATAGGACGTGTGGCACCAGTGGATTCAGGTTACTACTTGACAATTATTTGTACATTTCTGTTTTTCTTCATCGCTCCATGGTTATTCCTTAATTCATTTCAAATTTGGTTTGTAATTCCTTAGAACTACTTTTCTGATTCACTAAACCAACTAGTTCTCCTTTTTCAGAGAGTACCCTGTTTAGCAACATTTAATCTTCATTGTTTTTTTCTTCTGCTCTTATTTTGTAGGATTGTGGTGGATCATTCTTTTAAGGGCTTACGGAAAAATTACTGGAGACTATGCTCTACAAGAAAGAGTGGATGTGCAAACTGGCTTAAAAATGATACTCAACCTGTGTCTAACAGATGGGTTTGATATGTTTCCTTCTCTGTTGGTCACTGATGGCTCCTGCATGATTGACCGTCGGATGGGCATTCATGGCCATCCTCTTGAGATCCAAGTGAGTTTGACTGATGACTTGAACAAATTCCATTTTTCATTTACGTTCATCACTTAGAAAAATTTCATTCTGAATTCACATTTAGCTGTTGATGCTGCTTCTTCTGTTGCATTGCACGCTTCATAGCTTCCCATAGTATCCGATCCATTAGATGAAACCGTTCTCTATCTTATCCTTTTATCTTATTTTCATATTAACCTTATTTAAGTTCGTCTCCTGCATTTCTAATGAGGTTGATGCTGCAGGCCTTGTTTTATTCAGCGTTAAGGTGCTCGCGCGAAATGCTCACTGTGAATGATGGGTCCAAGAACTTAGTGAGGGCCATTAACAATCGACTCAGTGCCCTATCGTTCCATATCAGAGAATATTATTGGGTTGATATGAATAAGATTAATGAGATCTATCGTTATAAAACAGAAGAATACTCCATGGATGCTACAAACAAATTCAACATTTATCCTGACCAAATTCCTCAGTGGCTAATGGACTGGGTGCCAGAGGAAGGAGGTTATTTTATAGGCAATCTCCAACCAGCTCATATGGATTTTAGGTTTTTTACTCTCGGAAACCTTTGGTCCATAGTCTCGTCTTTGGGTACGCCAAAACAAAATGAATCTATTCTCAATCTTATTGAAGCTAAATGGAGCGATCTGGTGGGTCATATGCCTCTTAAGATATGTTACCCAGCTTTGGAGTATGAGGAATGGCGCATAATCACTGGCAGCGACCCGAAAAATACGTGAGTTTATGCATAATTTGTAATCTTTGTGCTACTCTGCCTTTCATTCTCCTTCTCCGTAAGAGTATTTACTTATTTGCGATACAAAGTAAAGTTTGGTGGTTTGTTGATATGCTCATATCCATTTTGTTGGGCTGAAATACTTATTTGCGATACAAAGTAACGTTTGGTGGTTTGTTGATATGCTCATATCCATTTTGTTGGCCTTTTTCAGCCCATGGTCGTATCATAATGGTGGATCCTGGCCAACACTTCTTTGGCAGGTAACATAAAAGCGACTTTTGAGATTTTGGTCTTTCACGTCATTACTTTTAGTGAATTGGTGTTTTCGGTGGCTCGATAAGTAATGGTCTTGTCTCACTAAGGGATCGAACTAATAGAATGGAAATAATCTCGAGTCGCTCAACCGCTCGTGTATAACTATTTTATGTCACACCTATTGCAGTTCACATTGGCATGCATCAAGATGGGCAAGCTCGAAATGGCCAAGAAAGCAGTTGCTGTGGCTGAGAAGAGGATTGCTGCCGATCGCTGGCCCGAATATTATGACACCCGAACAGGGAAGTTCATAGGAAAGCAATCCCGACTCTATCAAACATGGACAATTGCTGGGTTCCTGACATCTAAAATGCTGGTTGAGAATCCAGAGCTGGCATCTTCTTTGTTTTGGGAAGAGGACTATGAGCTACTCGAGATATGCGTTTGTGCACTTAGCAAGTCGGGCAGGAAGAAGTGCTCTCGCGGTGCTGCCCGGTCGCAGATCCTTGTTTAAGGTAACTTCACTCTGAAAAGAATGAGAATGCCTTTGTACTTTACTGTACAGCTATAAGTTAATAGGTTAGAGAAATGAAATTAAAGAGTTAGTTCCAAGTTCTAGAAGAAAGGCTATTTGTTCTCCTTGCATACTGCAAAAATGTAAGCTGATTCTGTAAACCAATTAATGCTAGTTGATTGGTCATAGATTTTTTTTAGAATTGAGAGAGCCTGAATATTAATCTGGATTCTCTCTGAACATCTTTATGTAAATATATATTTGACAATAATATATTTCCATTATGTTAACATCTCTCCACTTCTCTCGAACTCGAACTGGGTAGAAGAGATTTTTCATTTCCATTTGATAATGATTTCGTTTTTATTTTACGGTAGTAGGGTTTAGATTTTAAAATGAAAAAGGCATTCATACATGGAAGTAGTAATTGCAAGCTCAATTTTCAAAACAGAAAATCAAAGGCAAAATGGTTATCTAATGGGTTTAAGTTTAGGCAAAATGGTTATCAAATGGGTTTAAGTTTTTCATTGGTGTGATCTCGATATAGAGAAGTCCTTGACAGCTTTGTTTTCAGTTACAATCCATAAACAACTTCTTATCAATGTTTATTCAATAGAAAAATAGACTTCGAACATCAGAAACACCATAGGAAACAGTTTTAGCCAACAACAAACCAGTACAGAAGAAGAGAGAGATCCCTTGAAGCTCTAAAGAAACAAAATCAGACCTCCTTCACCTCTATGGCAGTAGTAGCTGCATTCACTACTTCCTTCTCTTTACCCTTCTCCTCCACCTCCTTAACTTCTTCTTCAACCTCGAAAGCCGACACAGGGAAAGATCTCGAGAGGCCGGTTGGGGAGCGGAACGTGATCTTTCCAGTTGGCGGGTCATCAACATAGATTTCATTGAGTTTAAGCCAAATCAAGAGCTCCTTAGCCTTGACTCCAGTAAGCTTCTTGATCCTGTTATTCTCCACATAGGCTGTAACTTCAGTGGCATAAGTAACCAGCCTCCCAATCTTTTCAAAGTTATGAGTGTAGCTCTTCTTCTGCTTCAGCCAAACAAAGCCTGTCTCCCTTACAATCCCACACTCCTCCATGTCTTTCATTGGCAACAGCCCATTTGGAAGCCCCACTTCCTTTAGCAACTCCTTTGATTTCTCTTGGCATTTCTCATCTCCATAGTAGACCTCGTCAGCTTTGGCTTTGATCTCTTCTGTGACAAGAGACATCCTTAATGAACAATCAGCTTATTCCTTGTTTGGTTTGGGAATGAAAAGTGGGGGTGTGAGACTTTGTATAGATGTACTGTAAAGCCATTTGGATTTGTAGTCATTTTGAAAATGTTATGACCAACCATAATGAGTGGTTGTATGGTGGAAGACTTTAATGTATGCAGTTGCAAGGTTTAATGGGTGAGGCTGACAAATAATGTATGATGAGTGGTAAGTTGTTGGAGGGTTTTGTCAAAATATATGTCATTTATGCAATTRATGGATATATAGTTGGGAGATTGGAAGATGAATTTTGAGGATYCCTCTTAATTAGTTAAATCTCGTTTTAGTTTTGAACTTTCAAGTTCGTTTCATTTTATCCCTTGAATTAAAGTTTAAGGAAAAAAAAAATCATTTTGGAGCAAGTATACTAATATGTTAATCCAAACATTCAACCGTGATAAGTTGAAGGTGAGTATAGAATAAACAGATATTAGGTGGTAAAATAACATAAAGAATCGAAATAGTTAATTTTCAAAGTCGAAGACCGAAATAGATGTTAGAAAAGTTGTAAGATTAATTTTTTTTTGTTTAGACCTCAACAACAAAAATAAAACAACCCTAAAAGTTGAAGGACACTATAAAAGTTTAGAGAGTAAAATGAAATTGAGATATAATAAATACTAAAAGTAAAATATATTTGAATGATGGGCATTCTACCTTGCTTCAACATAATCATTTAATAATAATCAATTAAAATTTAATTTTACTTTTTATATATTTATTAGTTAATATCACTTTTACCGACCTACACCTACCAAAATTCCCTTATTCAAAATAAAAACAATCATCTTATTCTCATTTAAATACGCCTAAAAGAGTCTTGACTTTAACATTGCTAGCATGCAAACTAGTCCTAAAATTTCGGCTACTAATATCAACCGACCAGCTGCCTTATTGATGGCACGACCAAATGGGAAAAAGTAAGCTTAGTTAATGATATTAAATTTCATATAGAAGAAAAGCGACATATTAACATATAAGTAAACGATGTCGCAATCATATTTTTAATAACTCAAAAATAACATACATTGAAAAAAAAACAACCCTTAAAAACAATATTTTTATAGCAAGATAATAGATCAGAGGCTTCGACTTAAAATAATAAAAGATAGGACGAAATACATTTTTGGTCCCTATGAGACAGATATCTACTTGATCCCTGAGTATGAACACTTATGGTTCTTGAGGTTTTCAAAATGAACACTTTTGATCCTTGAATTTTAAAGATGTCAACTTGATCTCTAAAGTTTTAAAATGAACAAAGTTTGAGAAATTGTTCTAAATAGTCCCTGATGTTTTTACTGTCAATTAATTAATATTAAAATGACATTGCAAATTGTAATTAAATGATTATGTCCAGTATGAATAGCCAACAGCGGTGGCAAAGACATGGTGGTAGTCGGAAAAGGGTAGGAGAAAGAGAGTGGAAGAGACGAAGAGATGAGAGAGAAAAAGTATCATCACCTACATATATTATTTAATTAATATAATTTGCCACACAATAAACAATTAAAAGGTATGATAATWAATACAATGAATGTAGCAGCAAGAAATAGCAGGCAGCTGCACAAGAATGAGGCATTATTCTAAATATTTCTGTATGATTGTTACAGAAACACACTGCAAAAATAAATTTGAGACCACTGGATCTGAGGAAAATTTAATGAAAAAATGAATTCTAATTTCTACCTAAAACCAACCAACTGCCACCCCACCTGCCTATGGCCATGGATGGAATTAAAGTATACAGATGGTACAGAAATACTAGTTATAATGGTGATTGGAAATAAACTAGACATGAAGAGGATGAAGTCATCCCGAGTCAAGTCGAGTCCGAAGCCTATACCAAGGTGGAATTAAATGGCAGCAAGATGAGAGTGATATGCGAATGCAGGGTCATCAGGACGATGGCAAGAGGATGAGGGTGTCTCTTCAGCCACTTTAGTAAGCATGCTCGGTTACTACTAAATAGATGTTCACAGTCGGGTGCTAGCATTTAGATGCGATGGTTACTATGAATCGYCGTGTGGAYCGAAGGGACGTCGACCAGGACTCCAACTAATGCCCATTAGCTCCAGTTAGTATCTGAACTGTTTTGACTGGCATAACACAACTAATAGTAGAGAAATCAAAATGAATTTGGGCTTCTTGCCATGCTTTTTTTAACAGAAAATGCAAATACTGTACTCCATTTTGATGGTTATAACAAATAGATAGATACTAACTAGAGCTAATGGCTGATATCACTAGCTGAAATCCTCCCCCACCAGTGCAACTCACAGCAGTCATCGCATCTCAATGTTGATACTCGAGCAGACTAATYAGTTTAATATTAACGAGTGTGTTTACAGAAGGCTGCAGAAGATGCACACCCTCCTYGTCTCATCATCGTCCTCTTGAGCTCCAAATTTGCACATCACTATATATCACCGTGCTATCATCCGGTCCTGACACTAAGTATTGCCTTGGATATCACTCGTCCTTTCCACCATACTTAAACACCCAGAATATTTAACTATTCTAATTTTTGTTTACTCAAGAATTGAATAAATACTRACCGAATTAAGTTGGTTTACAAGAAAAGGTCCGGAGATTGCTGCTTGCGATCCTGTTCGGGTCTGAGTAGGAATACACCTAATGAGTGATGTTTCTGTGGAACAATTCTCTGGTTCGATTGCTGAGTCGACATTTGATCAAAAAGTTGAGGCTTTCATACAGTTAAAACTGTTCACGGATCCAAAGCTGAAGTTGTTCAGCAATGACTCTATCTGTTTAATTTCTTTTGGGATCGAACCTGTAAGAACCTAATACAAGAAAGCATAATTGATTAATTCACTCCTAAATATTAAAGGCTTCCAGGATTTGGGAAAGTGTTTTTTAACAAAATTGTAGTATGTTTAATATGGAATTTTTTGTATTAAGCTCAGCTAAAGGCTTGAACACAAGACCTCATGGTACATAATACCACAAGGCCCCATGCCTTGCCAATGGAGTCGCCCCTTCATAGGAAATGAAATTATGATTACCTTAGACATATTGTGGATAATAAAAGTTTTAGTCTTGGACCATAATTATATTGCTCGACTGTAAACTTTTCTCATATTCCTCTTTACTCAACTGTCACAACCATCCAAAAAAGAACTTAAGACTCAAATTAGGTACCTCGTGACCCGATTCAGTAATAAGGACATCATCCTCAATCCGTATCCCGATACCAGCAAACCTGCAGAGTACGTTGTCTAATGAGAAACTTTTGTTCCAATATATAAACAAATTTGGAAATATGCAATTGGAAAACAGACATCTCYCATTGAGGATCAAGTTTTAGTCAGAAGGTTGTGTGGGCAGAGTTGTTGATGAGATCAATCCAAATAATTAAAAGTTTCTTTCCTCTTTACATTTTTACTTGACAGAGTGCTTTATTGTAATTTTCAGTATTTTCTTTTGCTGGGCCGGTTGGAGTCAAGCATTCAATTTCTATATCAAAAGGATGGGAAAAGTCTAAAGAGATAAATAGGATCCCAAATAATGAAAGTTATGTAAAAGGCAAGGTCGATTATGTCTCTTCCTATACTCTCGGACACCCTTCACACCATTATAATGTTATTGGTGTGTTTTAGTGTTACTTATTATGGAAGTCTGTAGCTCATACAATGAAAAATTCATCTCTTCAAAAACTTATGAAATGGAGATGTTCGTCAACGATTGGACCCGGCTTCCTATCTTGGCCAATGGAAATAACAAGAAACTATGTTGAAAGATTAACTCATCTTTTTTCATTTGATGAGCTTCTAACTTAAATCATTTTTACACATTTTTCATAGGTAAGTTTAACGTGTATAGTTTACCTCTCGGGACCTTCAAATAAGGATGGGATGTAAACTCCAGGTTCAATTGTTATCACCTGCAAAGAATCAAGAAGCTCTTCAATTTGAATTTAAAATAAATACAAAACCAGTGTACTGATATTCAACTTGTCTCCAATTATAATGTAAACACTCTATCTTACTAGAAAAAAATGACATTGTGACAAATGCTAGTATTCCTACAACATAAAAAGCATGCAGAAGACAGTATCATTGAAGTTTAAGCTCGTATCGTCCATAAATGGGATGAACATAATCATKTATAGGGACAGGAAGACGGGGAGGGAAGGGCGGTGTCCATATATATGAACGGGAACAGAACTTACAACACCTGRCTTCAATGGCCGGTCGTAACCAACCATGGAGCAATCATGGACATCCATTCCAAGATAATGACCTGGGAAGAGGAATCAAAAAACAGAAAGAAAGATGGCTAATCAGGGAGCCAACTTAGGAAATCTCTCCAATTGGAAAATTATGTATTGTTGAAGAGAAAAAGGTGGCATAACATCAAAAGTACCGCGCTTTTGTCAATAAACAACAGATTAATTTTAAGTAGAAAATAACCTATAGAAGTGGGATTCAGCTGGTGGTAGGACTCGCTTTTCCAATTTTGCAAAATTCCAAGCTCTTTGAAGCCTTTCCGTAGCATTTGCACCTGCAAAAATGTAGAATATGAAAAGGTTTATAATATTTCTTTCAGAGATCAAGTGGCCAGATGCTTAGTTAAGTGAGGAACTGGCCAAAAATGGAAGAAATCATCAAATAGTTACAAAGAAAACTTGAAAAAGAATAGACCACAGAGAAACAAGATACTATCTAAACTTCCTCTCAAGATCTTTTTGCACCATAAAACTTCTTTCAATTTCACTCGATCCAAGGAAAGACCAAATAGATGCTTGCATGTTGCAACCTTGGAAGAAAAGGTCAAGAACCTCGACAATAGAACTAGAAAAAGCTTTATTAATTGACTGATGGGATTTATTCYCATGATCTATATATCAATTAAACTTTGAACAATTGAACAACAAATAAATACACAAAATGTACCGAGTAGTTATGAATGTCCCGTATAGTAGCGCCAGGTTTGCAAAGCTTTATGCATTCCTTGTTTGTTTGCAGTATAAGATCATAAAGCTCTTCCTGAGATAACATTGAACTAAGCAAGTTGGTAACAAAACAAGAGGGAAAGTAATACAAAATAAAGGTAAGATCCAATAGAAAAGCAACAAGATTGAACAATCAATAGAGATGATTGTGCATGTATATATAAACTGAACTCACATAATCATTGCTTAATGAGTAGTGAAAAGTAGTTAAAATGATCTATTCAAAGGATTCAAGTTCACAAAAACGAATGCAGAAAGGATTTTGAGGTCACAACACACACAAACAAGAAGAGGCTCAAAATCGTCATAATGACTGTAAATAAATAAGACTATGGGATAAAGATTAAATACCTGAGCAGCAGAAAAGTTCCCACAAGGCGGCCAGGTACGAGTAAGATCACTGACATAACCGTGCAATTCACATCCAATATCCATTAAGACCAAATCCCCTTCTCTGACCTGCGATCATTTTTCTTTCATGTACATACAGATGAATATTCATAATTTTCTTTCCATCTTTCTTAATGGTGAAGCTTAGGCTCCATGTGATAGATGCACTTACTTTCTGATCATTTCGAGAATAATGTATAACACTTCCATTAGACCCACCACCAGTCACAGGATTAAATCTGTTACAGAGAATGGAGATCGAAAATCAGTTGAAAATCTTGCATAATTTATAGTCACATATTAAAGCTAGACCCCGTTCACAATTTGCACTAGCCATCGTACTAATATTAAGAATACCAAGCGAACATCAAAATGGGGGTACTTCTTTAGATCCAAATACGAAGAAATAAACTAGAAACTACTCACGCCATTCTTTGAGCACCTCTCATTCTGCACTCATATTCTACTTTTGCTGATAACTTGCTCTCATAAGGATATGTTTTTGAATGCATCATCGTCTGCAGTAGAGCCTGAATCAAAGCACCATTTGTATAAAAGTGAACTTAGAAAGGATTTGACAACATGGTGCAGGTGCAGAAATAGGCATGCTTTTAAGGTGGGGAAAATGGCAATGTCAATGTTATTCCACATCCCCAATCATTTCTGCCACTTGTTAGATTATCTCTTAACAATTAGCTGAATTCAAAAGGAAAACTATTCATGACCGATCATGGAGCCAGTTGGATAACCAACCAAAGGCTTGRAGGTACCTGGCAAGCAATCGAAGCAGAATCCCTCATTAACTTCATCTCTGCTGTTGATTTTATTAACCGCAGTTCATGAGTTAAAAGTGAAATATCTTGCACACGGTTATTCTCGGCCGCTTTTTGGAAGGCCTCTAAACCCACATAAGCTGGAGTGGCAGTAGTCGAATTATGGAACAACTTGGTGGACCTCCTAATAATATCTGGAAGGATCTGTAATAAAATATAGAGGGTAAAAAGCGAAACACAAGTGGTACTAGTACAAAGTATTATAGAAGACTTAATGACAGTGAAAAAATTAAAATGCTCCATTCAGTTACACATTCAGACCAGCATTGGATGCAGAATCTTACAAACAAAACTCATGATGCTGGTCAGCCTTGACGCAGCAAACAGGGGTCAGTATTGGTTACACCAGAATCATATTGAAAGATGGAATTTTTTTTGCCACAGATTGAAAATAYAATCAGCGATACATGGTTAGTTGAATTGGATAAGCTGTAACTTATAGATCAGCAATAAATTCATGGTCTTGATTCAAGTTAACAATAATTCCATAATTGCCAATATATTCTTCAAATGAACTCACCTCACGCAACTTCTTCATGGGATATGCTTCATCAGCCTTGAAAAAATCCAATGCTGCATCAACTCCTGCAATTTTCCCTTGCCATAGAACATCCTGATAAAATATAATGAAATCAAACTCAGGATATATGCGACTGGCATTACACGCTTTACAAGATTATCCACATGAATGGTAAATAACTARATGCATTTTCTTTAATCAGAAATAATAAAATATACTAATAAATGAAAGATGCATACAAGGAAAGGTCTGAGGATAAGATAGCCTCCACGTCAGCAAATAACATAGCAAAAATTAATAAAGAAATTTCAGGAAATAGATGAATCATGGTGCCTCAATCCATGAGCTAACCAACTGATCGAAAAATTCATGATGAAAGATCTTCAAACCAACTTCCCTCAAAAAGATTGAAAACACTTTTCATTCCCATAACCAACTTGTTGCATTCTCGTGAAATTAGCCAACATGGTGCTACACCAGTAAAAGACCATAAATACRCCAAATTTGGAATGTCACAAAATTGAAAGTTCAATGACCTATAAAACACTTTTCAAATTTAAGGACTCACCTATTAAACACAAAATGAAAATTTAGAGATCCATTATATACTTTTTAAAAGTTCAGGGATCTATTAGACGCAACGAACACTAAAAATTTAAGGACTGAACATGTAATTTAACCTAAAAATAAATATGTTTTGCTTCAAAATGATTGAATTCCATCTTGGTTCAAAGGGTCTCTTATCACAGTCCATGGAAATTCATTCCACAAGATCCCWCCTTCCATGTGCCAAAATTGCTTTTAAGTAATGGAGCAAATAAATTTTAAGAGGATATTTGGTTGGACAGTCTGTGATCTCTCTTTTCCATTTTTTTCCCTCATGGTTTATTCATTGCCTCCTTGTTGATAAAGATACTCCTGAAGGCCAGCCAATGAGGGGAAGACGATGATGGTGTTACRGTGAAAATGAATAGTAGAAAAATGAAGAGAAATATATATGGCCACAGAAGAATATAGTTACATATAACATTATCGGATGTTACTTTGATGATTCTTCTTTAGATTTTCACATTTTGTGGAGTAATATTCAGCTCACTGCTTCTAGGTGGTGTCATAGTTTTAGTAAATTCTTTTGCAACTACTCCCTTCTTTCGATCCTTCACAAATGGAAGGCGTTCATGTAGTAGTTTTGTGTTGGGGAGGGGTTTCCTCTACCCCTTGCCCTTAGGCTGTTCTCCCTTTGTGATTAATACACTTCTCTAAGTTTCTTATCAAAAAAAAAAATAACATTAACGGAGAGGTGCAAAATTTAATATTTGGTTATAAACTTGACCATGTTCCTTAACTTTTATATTCAACCACTTGAAAAGTGATTGCTGTTAAAGGACCTAAATTGCCAGGGCACAAAGTAAAGTTTGGTAGGATGAATAAGATTGGCCATACATGAGGCTTTGCTTCAGGCATGAACATGCAGAATCCAAATTCGCGACTCAAAACTGCCAGACCACCCTGTTGTAGGCAACCAGTGATGTATAAGTAATCAGCATCTTGTCGAAATGTGTAAGGCACCACATCAGTCATCATTTTTACTGGGGCAGCTGCAATAATGGCCACACTCTTCTCTGGTAGAAGCTCTAGCAACCTTTTTCTTCTTGTAATGTATTCCTCAGCAGTTATGCCAGGAGTAATTTCCCCTTCTTTCATTAACTACAAGGTCACGCGGTTTAATGAATATGTTTCTTAAAACTTGCACAAATGTATCCCATTTAAGTACTAAACATAACCATAATAGAGACATGCCTAGTGCATCGCCTCAGTACTTTATGTCTATTGAGGTAAGTCAGCACATCAAGGGATCAGACCTGTGAATGAGAAGCGGGAGTGGGCTGTCCAACATCATGTAGACCCTTAGTACAATATGCTCGACAAGCAACAACCTGCAAACCAAAACAAAACACCATCAACACATTCTGAATAGGTAAACAAGGAAGTACTTCTCTTCAGGACTTSAAAGGGATTATTTCAAAATGGGGAATAATCTCAGTACTCAAAGCTGAAGAAAACATGAGGGAGATGAGATTACCCAAGAGCCAAGGAATTAATARAAAGGAATTACAATTGGCTAGAATCATAAAACTGGTTTAGACGAAGTACACCAATTGGCAGCCAAGGATCTAGCAAATTCTTAAATGTCCTCTGCTTCCTCAAACAGTTAAACCTATCCTTGAAAAATCCAAGATTCCATTCCACCATATCTCCCAAAGATGAGCGTTGACAAACGTTGTCATTGACAACATTAAACAACAAAGTTTTAGGCTTGTCTCTAAGACCCTCACCAAAAAGGAATTTGAAAAAAGAGCCTCGGTCTCTACTAGTTTGCAAAAGACAGCAGCTCGTATTGAAGCTATCCAAGAACTTAAGCAAGATGTTATAAACCTTGGGGCAACAAAAGATCAGATGCCACTAATCATCCAAACCGTTACCGCAAAAAATTGCAACAGTGAGAGAAAGGTACAAGGTCAGATTCCCCTTCAGAATCCGGTCCAAGAATCAAGTCCACCGAAGGACAAAGTCCAACCAAAGGAAGAGTCTGATCTTATTTGAAGATTTGCTTCCACAAAGGCTCGGACAACTGATTCTTGAGCCAGGAAAAGGTTCTTGAAAAGAAACCTACAAGAATAACTATCGAAACTCTCAAAAGTCCACAATCTTTGATCAGGGAGAGAGTTGAGCCTAAATCTTTCCCAAAAGAAACCAACAAGCACAGCAAACTCCACTCCTCAAACACAGAAACTAAAAGATTTCTTCTAAGCCCCACATTCCAACCAGCATCTTCCTCCATCCAACACTAATCTATGAAAGAACTTTTACCATTAATATTGGAAACAAAGACAAAAAYACTTCCTAGAAGCTCATTTCTGGAAAAAGAGCCAAATTCGAGCATCACACACACTTCAACTCAAGAAAAAGTGAGAAATTTTGAACATAAGCGACATAAAGAGACTATAAAAGAAGAATTCAATTCAAATAGCCAACAGTTGTTAACTCATTCCATATGGGGTAGCAAAAACACACTTGCTTGAACGTTGTTCTGGGTAGTAGTTTCTGAAATAGAGTCTGCATTCTTTGTGTGCCTTATTCTCACTTCCGAGAACTTCAAATCCTGAATATGAATCAAGATTGCATTTTTCTGGCCCCTGCAATCTCAAAAATGGGAAATAAAGCTACCCTTTAAGCTCCTGGCCTTTGGGGTGCCCTTAAGTTCTAAGTAAGACCCACTTCCGAYCGTCCGCCGCGGCCCACGACACGAACACGAAGAATACGGCGCGTTTTGAGTGAGCGGAGCACARGTTCCTCCGCCGCCGTCCGTTCTCCACCGCCGACTAAAATTTATAGAGGTTATTGAGTCTATTTACTATTTAGTCCTCAGAAAAATAAAATAATAAAAACTTTTAGTTTTTCTTATGTCATTTTGCTGTATTAAAAAGATTAGAACTAATACAAATGTTTTTTCTTTTTAAGTAAATAGAATAAATAGACACARCCTCATAATGTAACAATTAAATTTATAATTAAATATATGAAAAAAAATTAACATTTATGTATTCTTGTATATTTTGATTATTAATTGATTAAATTTTGATATTTTTTTAAACTATATGAATTATTTTCCCACTTTTAAAAATATTTTACATTAAGAATGATGAATATTTAAATATTGGACTCTTTAGATGGAGTAAAACGGTTGGAGATATATGTCAATTATCCCTTAACCRTTTTAGAGATGGAGTAAAATGGTTTTAACCACCAAAGTAGTTTCAAATTGGTATATAAATTTGTTGTTCAATATGTAGTCTTTCAATGTCACGCTTGAATAATTGATTTAATAAAACGACAAATTAAAATGTTTTTTCTATCGTCAATTTAGAGATGGAAAAAAAAATCCTTTTAAGTTATTTTACTTAATTTTGGTGGGATGATTTTGGTAACGTTCTTATTTATTATTTATTGTTTTTACTTTTTAATATTTGCTTTTACTTTTTAATATAAAAAACATAATTGCATTTGGTAACTTTTCTTATTTCTTCCATTTTTTTTCGAGTAACCATTAAATTTTAAATTGAAAAAGTAAAAAGTTTATGTGAAAATTAATTTTTAAATTAAATATTCAAAATTTGTATGTTATTATTACTTTTTAACATTTATTATATATTTTATAAGTCAAGATCCATAAAAACAATATTTTTATTTATGTTTTGAAAAAAAATTGAAAAGCATGAACAATAAACGACTCTAAAATTTTTATAGAAATTTTGAAATGTTTATAAGAAAAATGAGAAATAAAAGAGTCAAATAACTCAAATTCAAACTGTTCC